ACTAACTGAACTCTTCCTATTTACCTTTGTATCAGTAACTGTGTGTCCTTAACTATGTTAGATACTGTTCTGAATGTTTTAATGTATTTACTCAATGAGCCACCATAACCACCAAGGACAGGGTACTTATATGACAACTATTATCACTGTAAGCTTTTAACAAACATTAGAATGACATTAGTGGGAACCTCAATTAGCCTGTCACTTCAAGTCTACAACAAGTGGGTCAGTTAAGCAAGCCAAGCTTCAAAGCAGTTAAGAGGCCTGCCCTAAGCGATGGCAATACAGGCCTATCCCACTTCTTAACTGCCCTACATGCCAGTGCATTTGCCAAGCTTGAGAAACACTATTTCATTAGTCACGTCTCCATAATCTTCCCTTTACCCTTTATGTCAATACTTTCCCACATTAGGAATTGAAAACTGCCTGGATGCTAAGTTCTTATTAATAGCAAATCAATAAACTACATATAGACAGCAATAATCTTCAAATTTACAAAGCCCTGGGTGGGGATCTTGCTAAAATGCTGACTGTGATTCATGAAGTCTGGGGTGGCATCTGCACTCCTTGAAAGATTTTGGGAAATGTTGATGATTTTGGTCCACAAACTGCACTTTGAACAGAGAGGCTGCACAGCATATCCCACCACCCCTCACCCCCGACCCTCACACTGCTATAGTTCATTTTGTTTGTATTTATGTATTTTGCTTTGAGAGATATGGGTCTCACTATGTTGTCCAGCCTGGCCTGGAGCTCCTGGGCTCACCTCAGTCTCTCAAATAGCTGGGACTAACAGAGTGTGCCTGTGCCCTCCTAACTAACTCTGAATGAAGAGTGAAAAGAGTTACAGCTCTCAGGGCAACTGAGAAGGGCTGATTTCCTTATTCTTCCCTAACATATTATAATGTTAAATTTTGGAATGAAAGAATATCCACTTTTATGACAACTTTCTCTCTCCCTGTGTGTCTATGTCCCCCTTCCTTTCTCTAATGACACTAGTTATTTTGGATTAAAGACCCCTATTCCAGTATGACCTCATCTGAAGTAATCCCATCTGCCATGATTATTTCCAATTAAGGTCTAGTGGTTGGGACTTCAACCAAAGCTTTGGGGATAGAAGGAAAACAGTTCAATCCACAACACACTCAGTTTTAGGAAGTTTCATGTCTATCAAAACAAAAGCATGGTTTTATGAATTGTTTTTAATGTATTTTAAGAATTAACAAGGTAGTAAATCTACCAATCATAAGTGTACATAGAAAACAGGGGAGCTTAATTCATATTCATCTTCTGACTTTCCTTTAACTCAGAAAGTCCACCTTTTAAGGCCACTACTCCTCTTATTCAAGAAAAACACACTTATCTATTTCCTCTTTTCTTTAGCACATAATCACAACCACTGACACAGATCCCCACCCTAACTTATTTTAATTGCAGAGAGGTATCATAAGCTCCATGTTATGGTTTGTGTTATGTTACATACTGTTCTGAATGTTTTAATGTATTAACTCAGTGAGCCACATGCTTCTAGAGTTTATGACTGATTCACGGGTGTGAGTGATACACCTGTCCTGGGGCGGATAGTTTGCATATGTGAGGGAGAGAAAGAGGCTGCTTGCTGCCATGCCTCCCGTTTGCTCTTATTGCTTTGTTGTCTTCTGCTGCCATGAAGGGTTGCCCTCTGCCATGTGCCACCCTGCCTTGGAGCCAGCCGAGTATGGACTGAAACCTCAACAGACTGTGAGCTAAATAAACCTTTCCTTTCTTAATTCTGGGTGTCAGGTATTTTGTCTCAGCAATGACAGAAAAGTAAGGAAGACACTCCATTAGGAAATTAATTTAATTTTCTCTTAAACATAAGTCAGTGTGGTGTAGAACTGAGGTCAAAATAACACTTATCCAGATATAAAGAGTAAAAAAAAATATACAATTTCAGAGCTCTGAACTTTGGACCAGCATTTATCTCTTCACTGGAGGTCAAGAACAAACTCCCCCTCCACAAGCCGCTTTATTGTTCTTGGGACAGTTACCCCATCAAGAGCTGCATCAATTCACTTATTTTCCACTAAACCTTGTAGTTGCCTCCTTACCCTAAGGACAGTACTGAAAAAGCAACTGGTAATGAGTATAAGCGATGAATATTTTCTAAATGCTTTCCAGAAATTTATGTGTTTATTATAAAACATTTGGACACTAAGTCATAAGTACAACCGATTTATATGTGTAAAACTAGAAAAAACTAGAGAAAAAACAGTACTGACATTAATTCTGGACAATCACTCAAATCATTAAGGGGAAGAAGGGCTAACGTTTACTAAGGGACTATTAGGTAGGAAGTTAGGCTGTTTGGTAGGCAGTTTGTATACTTTAATTCAATCATCTACATTCCTAGGTTAGGACATGCAATCCAGTTTTTAATCGCATATAAGACAAGAAAGGTTTCGCAAAGTATTTGCCTAACAGTCCGTGTTCAGATAACTGCTCTTTCAAAACCACCTTCCTAGTTTGAGTCACCTTATTTATCCCTTTTCAAATACAAAATACATGAGGAGCTAGAGCGGAAGTGAGCCTTGGAAAACATGCATTAATAATTTTTTGAAAAGGTGTGTGTGTGTGGCTTTATAAATATGACACGGTTGTGCGGATGTTATTTACATTTTCCTTTATTTTCACTTAGTCCTTCCCAATTTATACTACAGGTGAGGGATTTTATGGCTTATATCTAAGTGTTTCCCCCCAAAGCCCATACACTCAGAGGCAGGGCTTTTGGGAGGTGGCTGTGAAGGGAAAACTTAAAATTTTAAATAAAGGCCTACCAAGAATGCCCAGGGGAACCAGTGGACATGTCCAGCAGGCCCTATAACAGAACATCTCTTCCTTTGTATAATCCATGCTTTGTATAACTGATAGCCCTGTGATGTAACCTGAAATGTTTAAAACTCCCTTAGCCACCCGAGATGTCCCCCAACCTTCCAATCATAACCCACTCACTCTGCCTCCGTAACCCTCCCTTGCTTTGCCTTTAAAAGCCACGAAATGCACTGGGGTGAGCTCTGGCTCCTTAGGAGAGATCCTAGTCAGAAGCCCGAGGTGTAATAAACTGCCTCTTTAACCTCTTCCTTGCCATTTCTTCCCATTGTTTGGTCTGTTTTCCGTAACAGCTGGATCAAGGGTGTGTGACACTGGATTACGGTGTGACAACTGCATTAGTTCACTGGTAGCTGTGGGTAAGGGAATTACTGAAAAGGAAAGCCCCATCTTGAGTTGCATCAACCAACAGGCTTATAACCTGAGTAGAATAAACAGGGAAAGAAAAGCTTTCTGCTAGCTGCTTCGTGTCTGCCATGTCACGGACTCTCTCCCCTCTTCCCTGCCTCGGAATCAGCCAACTATGAACTGAAACCGCTACAAACTGTGGTTCAAAATAAACCCTTCCTGCCTCAACCTGGGGTTTCGGGTATTTTGTTCCAGCAACAAGAAAGTAAGAAAGACAGAGGTGGAAAAATATGCCAGCTCCAAAATATGCCACTTTGACATAATTACTTGAATCTGAGCTTAAAATACTCGAAAAACTGCCTCACGTTTCTCTAAATCCACTTTTTGTCACAGTAGGATATAAATTTTTCATGGAAAATCCCCTCCCTAAACCGGAGGAAAGGAAACATTCTTATCACGAGGCAACAAGAGAATGTTCCACAAACAGACCTTGCTGAAATAGCCTCCCTATGTGCTGCGGTTATTTTCCCAGAACGGTCTTTGCTCAGTCCAGCACAAAGGCTTTATCCCTCGGCGTCATTTCCTTCTGAAAGCGCCCGCGTCTGGCCGCGTAAAACACCCCGAATACGCGCGCACGCTGTCCTCCCGCGTGCTCCGCCCGCAAGGGTCCTCGGCGCGAAGTCCAGCGTTCCCTGCGCTCCTTCCCAACGCTCGGGCGTGGAAGGCCCCAGGACTCCGTTTGGGACCGCGCTTTTACGCCGCTGTCGCTACGCCACGGT